TGAATTTCACCAAATAATATTATTATGTCTAAGTACTTATTCATTAATTCGTTAATTCAATCATTTTCAAAGACTGCCATATTTATGGATAGATGGACAGAGGGGGAGCTACTTCAAGAAGCCTGTTCAATAGTCCTAGTCCAACTTCGGATGAACATGCTCACGGCTCTGGATTTCAACGCAAAAGTTTTATGCGATAGAACTGCCTAGAGTTCAGTCGTCTCCTGAACGGTATTCACTATGGCTATGCCAGAAGGAAGCATCTGTAGAAGAACTCTTTTTTCCGTCCATATTTTTTTACAAAGCTGAAACTACCTCACTTCCTTCAAGATGGAGGCTTTCGAGTGCGATTGCAATTCAACGAGAAATAAATCCGTTTTTCGTCATTCTTCGTGCCTCCACCCCTCTGACCTTGATAACACACAGTTTTAAGGCTGTCATTAATAATTAGTACCATACACCTTAGTATTACTGCATTTTTTCAGACATCAGAGCAGTAGAGATGTTAGTTTCATTCTTCATCACTTATTCCAGGGTTTGTTAGAAGGAGTGCCAAACAGCTTGTCAGCTCCCTGTCGAGTCAAGTTTTGAAACCGCATCACCGGAAAATTATAGTCATTCAAGCTTTTAATAATGCTTTCTAAAAGTATTTTTGGAAATTCACGTTTGTGCTACTTCTCAGGTGTATTACAGCAAATCAAATCCTAAAAGAAGATTAAGAGTATCAGCTTAAGACATTATGAATTCTGTTGAATAAATCACTTCCTGCGTGCCCCCTTTTCTTGTCTGATTGTGCCAAATCTGACTTAATTTCTTAAGGATGGATTAATCTATCCAAATGGCAGAACTTGAGCACAGTTTTTCTGATTCCTGAAAAATGCATGATTCAATCACGCGATCATTTACCCTCTTAATAATGAGCTATTTACGAATTGTGTGTGCTACTGTCCAGATTGATGATCCATTCATAGCAGCATAGACTAGTTCGTACCGGCATAGACTGGAAATCACTTGCTGTTCAGTCCAAGCCGGCAACACTGCCGTTTTGTAGGATTATTATAAAGCTTGCTCCAATAAAATCCTTAGCATTGACGTTAATTTGCTCCATGGTTTTGATGCAGACTGAGGCGCGTGGATTAATCACATATTGCCACTCTGGAGTGAAAGCAAATTGTATTCAGTCCACACCGATCCGGAAGGATTACCTCCCTAAACGATAATAGTGTGGAATAATCATTCATCGATTCGCTTTCAAATTTCACTGTTTCCTGTGGGTCACTGGGCCAGTAAATCCTAAAGGATTTCAGTTGTGTTCGTCAGTCGAGCCAGCTGGAACCCAAGACAATAAATGCTAAATATCAGGATGTCAAGCGTTCTAGCGATGTGACCGCGTGATGGTCGGCTACGTAGCACTGAAAGGAAGATTTTCTTCCAAGATGCGTAGTGATTCTTTGATAAGCAGTTTTGCCTTTCATCTTTGCTGATGAGTCACGATGCATTAGCCTCTTTGCGTAGATATTCCTGTTCTGAGGCGGGGGTGGGTTGGTGACTTATGAGTGCTCTTTTATGCCCAGTAATTCTTGTTTCAGGAGAACATCTCTGTCTCTGCGAACTCCTTGCGGATGTGCAGTGACAAGGTCAGTTCGTTTGACATTTCCAAAGCGGGGGATCTAATTAATTTGCTCGTTTGACTGTCCTTTGACACGTGTCGTTGTCTCATAATTTTGCGCACCTGCTGTAGCTGTCACTGTGGGTGTGTCTGTTAGCCTCGCCCAAACTCACTGTTTGCCCTGAGGGTGGCAACAAATATAGTTTCACTGAAACGTCGGCGGTTATAACAAAAAACACCATGTGCCTGTTTCATCGTGTCTAGAACCACTGAAATTCCAGAATGTCATCATGTTCTTCCTTTTATTGCACGTATCATGAGTACCTAGAATTGGAATGACTAATCACCCTGAAAATCCAAAACTTTCGGGAATCGCTTAAAGCTAAATTTCCAACAGATGTTCTCCCATAAAATAGCCCATTTAATAGTGGCAGCACAAATCTCTCAGAAGGCCAAGTACAGCTCAGATGTTTTCTGCTTGCTAATTTGACCCTTTTATTAATTTTCCAATTTTGACTTTCGTAGATCGCAACGATGCGCTTATTCTTGACAAACGGTTGCGTCTTCTCCTGTTGTGAAACAAGGTTTGGCGAATGAGCGACAGTCGCTAATTCGAGGCTTTCAGCCTTACTCGACCATCGGCAGAGCTGCTATGCGTGCTGCCTGCCAATCAGCCGACCGGCGAGGGGTGTGGCGATCA